GGGGAGCGCGGGCCTGTCGGGGAGAAGGGGCCTGACGGGGAGCAGGGGCCTGACGGGGAGCAGGGGCCTGTCGAAGAGCGGGGGCCTGTCAGGGAGCCCTGGCAGAGCGGGGGCCTGACGGGGAGCAGGGGCCTGTTAGGGAGTGGGGGCCTGTCGGGGAGCAGGGGCCTGACGGGGAGCAGGGGCCTGTCGGGGAGCCCTGGCAGAGCGGGGGCCTGATGGGGAGCAGGGGCCTGTCGGGTAGCGGGGGCCTGTCGGGTAGCGGGGGCCTGTCGGGTAGCGGGGGCCTGTTGGGGAGCGGGGGCCTGTTGGGGAGCGGGAGCCTGTCGGGTAGCGGGGGCCAAGCTGCAGCAGATGTGTGTCTGTGTGGGAAACAGGGGAGGCCCCACATTAGCATAATGACATCATCATATATAACCATAAACTCACATTAATGAATAATGAAAGCAAAGTTTATTCCATTTGGAAGCGCCCGATGCTTCAACATGTCGGCATTCAGAGATGTTTGATGTGTTTCAGGTGGTTTGATCTTTGCTGTTTGATGTTGGACGATCCTGCTCACGCCATCTGCTTGGAGGTCTTCACTCAGGCCACTCCTCTGGCTCTGGATCACGTTCAGCAGGTAACAACTGTGCTTTGCTGAAGAAAATATTATGTTCCAGATGTTTCCTTTAACATCTCCAGTGATTTAACAACTCCTTCCAAACAATAAGTTAGTTTCATTGTTAATTTTTAACATTTGTTGAAGCGAAACAAGCATCATGTTTTCTATTATGTCTCATGGATTTCCAGCTAAGCTCTAAATGACTCATTTCATCCTTTCCTTCCTGAGGAACCAAGTTCATTTCAGCTCCTATCAGTTTGTGACACAGACTTTATTGTGGACACCAGAACAATGTGACCCTCCAGTAACAACCCTGCTAAACCAGAACATAATGAGACCACTGAAGAAGAACCATGCAGCATGCTTGTAGCGACAGTGGAGAGGAAAACTCTCTTTAAACAGGAAAAACCTCCAGCAGAACCAGGCCCAGGGTGAGCGGCCATCTGCTGAGGCCCACTGGGGTTCAAGGACACAGAAGCAGACATAGAAAAAGAAGCATAGAAGCTCTGATCTATAAACACTTTCTATATTAGATAAGCTAACGTTAAATTAGCTACTCAGGCGGCTCTGTCCGGGAACGAAACAGTCAGACGAGCTCTGAGGCAGTTTTAGTGTCAGAGGAGGAAAGAGAGAAGAGAAATCCCTCTGTGTTCACCTGGACAACAACCTGGAGACACAGCAGAAGACGTCTGCAAGAAGGGACAGAGCAGACTGGACTTCTAGAGGAAGCTCAGAGGCTGCAGATCTTCTATCAGTCTGATCTCTGCCTCCATCATCATCACCATCATCAGAGCTAATGACTGAAAGACGCTCAAGCAGCTGATAAAGAAGGCTGGCTCTGTGTGCTTAACGAGGGCGCCTGACCAAATTACTTTGTTTTGGGATTCTTCTGCGCCCCTCCCAGCGGACTCATGCAGACAGAATTTCTGCACCGAACACCCAGGAAAACTGGTAACCAGGCGGACGGATCCGCACAGAAAACATGGTGAGCAGCGGCAGCTCCTGCTGGCGAGGGTTAGCAGATGTAAATATCTAGAGCCGTCCTGTGATTTAGCTCATAAA